TTTTTCTTATTTTCGCCCAAATTTTACGTCCTACCCAATCACCTTTCATATTTTGGCCGTTTCCGCAAAGTTGAAAATTAAATCTTTGGATTTAATTAAATCCGAACCACTTACAACGGGCATTAATCTGTTCAAAGATGTTTTTGCCGAACTTATCAATTACGAAAAAGTAAGTAAAATTTAGTGTAGTGTTTTTAAATAACATATCCCTTCACTTGACTTGAATAAGCACTTCATTAACTTCTTTTAATCGACAATCAGTACAAGTGGTTGCAATACACACAAAATAATTCGCGCACAATTGGTTTGAATGATATTTCGTCGAACCCTGACAGATACACGAGTATCGACAAATTTTTGATTGACATTGACAAGTTGGGCCAAACATATCGAAGTAAGTTCCATTTGAAAAAAAAATTGTTAAATTCGATTGAAGTTTCAAATAAGTATTGTCCATTCATCAAATCGTAGAAGGTTCCTATAAATACAAAGTAGCCCAATCGTTCAAAGAAGCATGCCGTGCAGAAGCCGATGCCATCAACAAGTGTCCGGATTGCTACGAATCCCGGTTGAATAAGGACTCAAATGCTACTTTCTTCGAAGGCGTGTGCTTCAAGCCACATTTGGTAGTTTTGGCAAAGTTGGATGATTTTCCAATTTGGCTGGCCAAACTGACAGCGTTCAATGATGTCCTCAAAGAGGCCACCATTGTATGTTTCGGCGACCATCAAGAAGCCGAAGTACCGTTTACTCAGTGCTTCTTGTATTCGAAGCAAATAAAACGTGAAGAGCCGGAGGATGCAGATCAAAAAGCAGATCACCAAAGGGCCTACAAGGTTATTTGAGATGACTTATTCTGATCTACAGTCATTTTATTGATTGCAATTTTTGCCATCCGTTTTTCAGGAAGTCGACGAACACATCAAAAACGTCGTTAATAAATTCGGTTCGTTCGTTCCGGCTCCAACCGAAATAGCCATAAGTGATGTGAAACAGCATTTGATTGACATGTTCCCGGGTGCTTACGCCTCAGAAGGTTCAGAGGCAACCGACGAGCATCGGACATGCACATCTACGAGTTTCGCGGCATTTTTCGAAAACGACAATGTAACCGATATGGAACTTCCAGTTGACAATGGTGACAACAGTGGTAATGGTCATTCAATCCTAGATGGGAATCTGCTGACCAATTCCGTCATAACCGAAACTGCAGCGGAAAACTGCCAAAACCAAATTCATCAAAAGCGCAAAAGTGATAACGGTATGATGGAAAAACAAGCCGATCCAGAACCGAATAAGAAGACCAAGGCCACTGAAATGGGCAATTCATCACAGGATGATGAACACGACGTGATCACCTTAGATGATGACGATAATAAGAAGAAATTGCTTCACGAAGTATGCGAAATCTCGGTAAAAATAGCTGACTACGAAAGAGTCATTCAAAATCTGAAGGATCGAAAAAAGCGCATTTCAGACCGAATTCTCAATAACTTATAAACGGCCCTCCTACGTGGTCAAACTATCTCAAAGCGAAAGAAGCAGAGAAACATTACATTAATGAACAAATGTCTAAAGATAAACGAAGAAATCATATTACTCAAAATGATCGATCCTAACAAAATGTAATTTGAAAATTAAAACAAGCATTTTTTTTCTTGTTGTCACATCCCTCTTTTCAGTTTAGAAACATTGACGCTGTTCCAAATTGAACAAAAACATTCAAAGTTTCAGTCATTTAAAATTGCCGCTAACTCGCTCCTGTCATTCGATCGGTCTCTTCTGTCGCTCTTGCTTCGCGCGCATTTCTCCTCATTCAAATCCCGCGCTGCGCATGCCCAAGCATTCCTCGCCGGCGCGTTTGGCGCCAAAAATTCGCTATGTAAGCGAATAGCATTAGCGAAAGCATCTTGAAATCGGCAAAAGTAAGAAATTTAATTGCATTGTTACATAAATTTTTTTATATTGAATTCAATAAATGAGTCAATTTTGTTTATTAACCCGCGTCCACTGGAAGTGTAAATTTTACACTATTTTCAAGTACAACTACATTTTTGAGTGATTTTTCATGGTTATATTATCCAGAGATTTTGGCTCAACGGGAATATAGTCATTTTCAAAAATTATATGTCAGTTTTTCAAAAACGCAAAACGCTATGCCGAAATTGGTTCAGAAAATGTTTGTTTTGCATATGCCAATCGTTCACATTGTTTCCTCAAACTTGGAATGTTTGACAAATGTGTTAATGACATTGAAATGGCAGAAAAGTCTAATTATCCGAAAGAAAAAATGTCTAAATTAGAAGAACGTCGTGCATACTGTTTGAATCAAATGAAAAATAAGAAACCAAACTCAAAGAGCGCACCCATTGGATTTTGAAGCAGACGGTGCGTTTCCTGGCATGGCCAATGTGCTGGAGATGAAATACAACGAGAAATTCGGACGTCATTTTGTTGCAAAGCAAGACATCGATGTGGGAAAAGTGATAGTGGTTGAAGAAGCATTCATAACTATGATTGTAATGCATGCAGGCCTGAATATTTGTGATACTTGTTTCAAACATATGACCAATTTCATTGCTTGCCAGAACTGTACGTTTGGGTTGTTTTGCGATGAAATTTGTGCCCAAAATGATTTGCATAAAATGCGATGCGGTCGAAGTAGTAAAGATGACAATCCATTAGTTGAGTATGCAATACGATCAATTGTATGTGCTCTGGATATTTTTGCAGCCGATGACGATTCGGCGTGTTATGTGGATACGCTGATGTCTTTTGTGGAGAACGTGATTCAAGATCCAAAGAAAATGGCAAACGTACCACATTCGATTGTCGACAACAAGTCAAAATACCGCTTATTTCTGACACTAAATCTCTGGCTGGGTTCATTAAAAGAGGATGAATTAATGGCTCGTGCTCATGATGCGTTTGAAATTCTCTTGAAGATGCCACAAATAAAAGCTGCATTTTCATCACACAAGAAAAGCCGCTTTTTGATGCATTTATGCGTGTTTCACACTTACCTTGTTTTCTGCAACTCGTTTCAAAATCAAGCAAATGGCGGTATATTCTTGCTTCGAAATCATTTCAATCACTCTTGTGCGCCGAATGTACTATGCAGCAATTACGAAAATAAGTCGACTTGCATTACATCACGTCATGTCAAAAAAGGCGATCAACTTTTTATATCATATGGAAGTGGATACTTCAATCATTCACGCGCTGAACGTCAAAAGGGTTTAAGCAACGATTTTGGGTTTCAATGCGAATGTGAAAAATGCAAAAATAAGAGCTATCCAATTTCATCGGATGTCATTAAATCTGACGCGGAATATCAATATTTAGCCAAAGAACTGGACATGAAGAAAGTTAAATTCTCCGATGGATCGAAATGTGCTATCCTCAAACAAAAATGTCTGGAAATTCTCATCAAGTATCGCGATCAACCTTGGACCATTGAAAAGGATTTGGTGGCAGATTTTTATCAACAGCTGTCAGTTGAAACAATCCATTAATGAATATTTTGTTGGCGGACCCATGACGTATTCAACTTAATACACTTTTTTTTTACTTTTTATATTAATTATTTCTAAAATATGTACTCATGATCATCAATTATGACTTTTTTATAAATTTTAACCGAATAAGTTTCAGACACTTTCATCAGAGCCAAAGTATTCTATTCAGAGAATTTCTTTGTAGTTGGCTAAGGTATATAGAAATACCGTTCGCAGAAAAAAATAATATTTCTGTTGGAGTCTAGTGTAATAAGCATTCTAAGTAAATGCCAAATATTAATTTTTCGAAGATAAAAACAAACGATTCTCTTGTTAAACAATAATGTGAAAGAATTTTATTTTTTTTTTAGAATAAATGAAAGCAAGAAAACAACTATTTCTGATTTTAATTGGTTAAATCATCGGTGATGTCTTCCTGTGAATTGTTATCCTCATCATCATTGGTATTTATCAAAACGTTGCCGTCTTTTGCAGTGGTGTTTTCATCTGTGATATTTTCAGCAGAGTTGTCTTCGTCGGCTTTCTTCTGGAATTTGTTCACTACAAATTTCGATACGTCCGCTCCCAGCAATCGCAGCAAATGGATGGAATCGTTTAGATCTATATATGCACGAAGTGATTTGGCTCCCTTCCAACCGACAGCCTTGAGTGTGAATCCAGCTTCATCGGTGTACACGAGTAAACAGCTGCCCGCTTCAATGTTTTGCATTCGTTCGTTCACCTGTTGGCTGAGCATTTCAAGTGGCGGTGGATTTTGTGCGTCGTTATGCTCTAGCAACGAGATCATATCGTTTTTGGTGACATCAATACGACGACGATCACCAATCACATCGTAAATTGCTTCCAATCCTTCGTTTGCCAAACGGAATTCACAACGCATGTGACGATGATCACACCGGGCGAACACTCTAACACCCGTGTTAATAATTTTCACATTTTCTTCATTCGCTTGTACCAATTCCTTGACCGCTTGCGAGCAGAAGTAAATGTTCTTCTTTTTGCCAACCAATGAACGTGTCAACAATTGCGTTGGCTTGAACGCATCCAATTTGTCGTTATCAATGTCAAAGAATGATTGAATTCCTTGCCATACTGGTTCTTCTTCCGTGAAAAATACAAACGGATCTTCTTTGTAGCCATAAATGCGTCGTTTTTTGCGTTGTGGACCCCATGGAACGCGTTTCTCTTCCACTTCTCCAGCCGGAGCGTCTGGCTGATGTTCGTCACTGGCAGCAACATCTTGTTCCATTTTTGATTCTTTTGGTTTTCGTTCCCATGGCAATGGACCTTTCTTTGTTAGCGCAGCCACAAAGAATCCGCCTGTGTTCTGGAAATGAGGCAAAATACGCATACACTTGTCCAGCGAATATTTGGCTACTTCATCCGCTGATGGTGGAAACATTTGGGGACGAATTTGCGTGTGTAGTTCTTTTGGAACTTCATCGAATGTTTTGTAGAATTTCTCGCAATTTTTGTCGCTTAGCTCCCAGTAAGAGATTCCCGGTGCGTATTTCAAGCCAGGCACCAATTCGGAACCATCAACCAATTCTAATGCGCCTTCAGCATCTTTCAGCAAACGATGCAGCACACTTTCGTTTTCGACTGGGTTCAGTGAACATGTACTGTACACAAGACGACCGCCGATATCTAGCATCTCGGCGCCACGGCGCGCAATGCGATACTGAGTACCATGCAAATTCAATGCGTTGCCCAAATGCCATTTCTTCCAAATGTCCGGATTCTTTCTCATTGTTCCATCGCCAGTGCATGGCACGTCACATAAAATACGGTCGAATTTCAAGATTGAACCTTCGGGCGTTCTGAATGCTGGCATACATGAACTGTCTTGATTGACAACAACGAAACATGGGGAGTTTAATCGCTTTGCTTGATGCACCAACATGTAGCATCGGTTGTTGTCGACCTACGAAATGTAAAATCGATGAATAAAATGATTCAATGTTATTTGAAACTACGAAATCACCACGTACATCATTGGCAACAACAAAACCAGACGGTATCGCTTCATCAGCATGAAGAGCTTCGATGAGTTGGGCCGTTTTTGAACCAGGCGCTGCACACATGTCCAACACTTTGTGATGAGGCTTCACATCAAGTACTAAAAAGAACAAAAAAATAAATTATTTTTCCCATTTCATACGAAAATGACAATTCCACAATTAATATGAAAAATGAGCTCACCCAATGGCGGTATCATTGACACTGCCTCCTGTCGACTAATACTGCCCGCATCAGTTTCGGCAATCAGAAAATTGTGCAATTTGTAATGTGATTCGCTTCGTCGGATATCTTTGCGTGACAGTTCCAATTGATAAGCCATTTGGTTCGGGTACCAAGGCAAACAAATCGGTGCCTTTTTCACATTTTCAACAATTGATTCTGACACATATTTGGTGAAAAATTCATTTCGAATGATTTCAAGCAATCGTTTAGCTGTATTCTTCGAGCCACTCAAACGGAATGTTGCCGGTAAATCGCTGCGAATTGTCTCGAGCAGGTCATTCCATTCGGTTTCTGGACAAATTCCGGCATGTTGATAATAGCGCACAAACTTTTCATTTTCCTTCACGATTTCTTGATATGGTGCTCGTTCCGGTTTGACGTTGGGGTCCTTTGTTCCTTGCTCCTTGCGCTCTCGTCGCTTCTGTGCGAATCGATTTCTTTTCATTCCGCGTCCCATCTTTTCTTCTGGTCTTGTGTTTCGTTTGCAAACTGTTTGAAAATCTTGTCAAACACGTGTGAATACCGCTTTTAATATAGTTTTTTCTCCGCTTGTCAAACTCCAAATGTCACATTGAGCAATGTGTTGTCGGTATGTGTCATCGATTAGGCATATGCCGTACTTAACGTACTTAAAGGACCTAATGCAATTGGTTCATAAGGCGCATGTATATAAAAAAAAGCGTAATTTTTTTTGTTGAAAACCCTTTTTAGAATGATTTGCACACAGCAAGGCGTGCATGTTTATTCACACTTAATTTATTTTGACTTATTTATAATATAATAAGTTATACATCATGACTGATTAAAGGAGTATCATATGTTTTTGGTTCTGTACAGGGGAAAAGCCAAAATAATGGATGCATATTCCCAAACACGTCGGCCAATAACAGTAATTTGGGATTGGTGATGCGATAAGAACCGCGGAATTGTAAAGCCTCAATAGGCGTTTCGTCATAAAAAATTGCACTCAACTGATCTATCATTATTGCAATTACAAACAGTCCAAACAGACTTGACACTAGCAGTAGAAGCACGGAATGTAACCTGTTGACGAAAAAAAAATCGGCATAAATTATAACGGGATATGCAAAAATGCGATGACAGAATGAACGTACATTCTGGACTGCGCCTCAGACAAATCATTTGTACACATATCACCGGTGCATGGGTAAATCCACGAGGCAATTACCAGGAATACAGAATAAATTGATAGTATACAGACGTATACCAGAAATTGCAGAAAAAACTTTTGATTTCGTTCGCCGACACAATTCTATACAAGAGAAAAAGAAAATGTGATGAATATTTGGACTTATCTTGCAATCGATTGAATTCACTTACATTTATCCACGGACAATGATGATCCATGCGTCTAACAAGAAAAGAAAAGAAAAGAATAAAACATAAATTACAATTCAAGCGGTTTTTAGAAATATATTCGTCGACGTACCGAATGCACCGTTTACAAATTCGGCAATGGTGCGCTCTGGGCGGCCGATATGTTTCGCATCGCGTGCAAACCGTCCAATCTTCGTCGGCATAGCGATGTTCATGGTTGCGAGCCGCATGAAAATCGGAAAATTCCAATCGAGCTAACGGCACCAGGCCCGGATCACAAAATACGGCTTTCAAATGGGAAATGGCCAGTAGAAAAATGATCGTATTGAATAACACCACATTGATTGGGCCCCACAGACTATTTGGCATCGTGTACAAGACAATCCATTGTGTGACCACATAGTCCGCGTACAAAATTGCCGAATAAGTTATCAAAATGCACACAATCCCACAAGGATCTTTTATAAAGCTCATGCCTTCACCACAAAAAAAAAATTGCTCTATTTCACTTTTAGTTCATTTCACAGGAATAGTCGGTTTTTCGTCCGATTCGTCTTATCGATTATTCATGGTTTATTATTGCCTATGCTAATCGATTTGTTGACATCGTTCTAGCTGTTGTTTGTTCTTTTGTAATTTCTTTTTCTTTTATTTGACAACAACAACAACATATGACACAACCATAACTTCAGAGTACCCGACCCACTGCTGCGAATAATAGTAATAATAATAATGAGATTGATGTTGACACTTATGATAAAACTATTTTTTTGTCATCAATTTATGTAAATGATGTCATAGTGTGGATGGATTTGATATGTGCTTAAAATATATTTATAACTTGAGTTTATTGTTTTATTCTTTTTTTTAATTTCAATGGTCTTTTAAAAAATTGTGTTTTGTTTTAAATATGAAACAAAAATGATGAAACTATTTGAATTATTAAGTACGCAGCGAGTGTAGCGAAGAACTTATTGTGGATTTTCAGTTCAATGAATGAAAATACTTATTAAATTCCACAGTGATTCGACTGATGTTTTTGGGATTATCACACAATTTATTGACTAAAAGAACGGTGTAAAGTGATTATTCCATAATTTCATTGCAGCAAAATTATGTAATAATCGTTCAAAAACTGAAACATCATTTCCAAAGTGCTCAAACGGTGTTTTGTTTGTGTATTGAAAACACGAATAGACTGAATGAACACCAAAACGTCAAACTCATTTGAAATACGTAATTGTCAAACTTGACACTTCATGCAAAACCAAAATATAAACATCGGACTTGTAAACTACAGCTTGGTTTTATCAGCATTTTGTTGTTATTTGTCACAAAAATGTATAAAAATTCAAGGAATTTCTAAAAGTGTTCGAATAAAATTTTCCTGTGAAATGCCATCATTTTGTGCAGTAGCGAATTGTGAGCTGAAATATTCACATTCGGAGAATGTGTCGTTTCACAAGTAAATTCAAATTTTTTTTATATTTTTTGTGGTCATTCGAAAGTCAAAATATTTAGTCATTATTTGTTTCTCACATATGAAACAAATCTAAATCTTTTTGTTTTTATGTACACCTTTTCGCTCAGATTTCCGTTAAAAAATGCCAAAATCCTGGCCGAATGGATAAAATTCACGAATCGTGGTTCAAATTGGAAACCGTCGCGTTGGAATTCAATTTGCTCACGTCATTTCGATAAGTCCGACTTCCGCGAGTATTTGTCGCGCAAATGTTTGAAAAAGGAAGCGATTCCAACCATAATAACGAAAAATAATATATCATATGAAACTTATCACATTTCAACTGGTTCACCGGACGATACGCGGACGGCACACTCAGAGCAAGATGACTATGGAGCGACGGCAGAAGCGTTTGACGATAGCAAAGCGTCATCGGAAGAGATATGTCGACTGTGTGGAGATCGGGCTGACAATCTAACGTGCAATGCATTGCGATCATTGGACGATCCCGAAGTCGATTTGATGTGTCGCAAGTGTTTGCCTGCAGTGAATGTATATGCTCACATGGATCAATCGCGAATCGCTTGCAGTGACTGCATTGCTCAGCTGAAGCAATACGCAGACTTTATCGATAAGGTTCTTTTGTATCAACGTGAATTGGGTGTGATGGAAAATTTCGATAGCTATGCGACCAGTGAGAATAGTCTAGTCAATGGTAATCGAAGGAGTGGCACCATAAAACCATCAACGCCAAATCCCAATCCAAATTTATTCATCAAACAAGAACCGATCAATGTGAAACAGGAAAAGGTGGAGAGTTCAAATCGACGGCCATTCACCGCACAAATTCCAACTACATCACCATCACTTTGTCCCAATCCATTTGCCGAACCAAAGAAAATGAAAGGAGTCGCGCAGCAAGAAATCAATTTGCCAAAAACGGAGTTGAGTTCGACGTATTGTGAAGAATGCGATCGAATTTTTGCCAATAATTTCGAATTTCAGTCACATGAATGCACGAGTGCCGTGCAAAATGCGGACCGAGAACAGGGGAATAATTGTGAAATTATGGAAGTGATCACTCTGAATAATCCTATCAGTTTCATTGATTTGGCTGAAGATGAAAATGCAACGAACATCGAACCGAGGAAACCAAAAGCTGAAGGGTTGATTGAGTTTGAACAACGGGAACGTCTGGAATTTGAACATGCCTATGCAAAACGGGCCGCCAGCGCTTCGTGCAATCTGAAACAGGAGATTATTGATTCTTATAATGATGCATCACAAAATGGTTACGATTACAATGATCAGGCGACAGAAAATGAGGATAATCAAGGAACGTGCTTTGAAGAATCGGCTCAAACGTATTTCGACTGCCCGAAATGCAACCAGTCATTTGTTTCGCAAGAAATACTCGATGAACACTGCACCAATTCACATCCAGTTAATCATAAAATCTGTTCGATCTGTAGTGCTGAATTCAAATCGCACTATGAATACCTCATACATAAAAACAAGGTGCACACGCAGCGGTTCTATTGCAATAAATGCAAGCAGAAATTTTATACGCAATCAGCTCTGAAATTCCACGAACGACTTTGCACACGCGAATCCAAGGATTTTTGCTTTTCATGCAGGCATTGTGGCAAGCGCCAAAAGAATCTGGCTGTTATGAGGAAACACCTTGGCATTTGTATGGGGAAAATGGCCGAGCAACCGATTGAACCAGCGCTGAAAGTGTCACAAAATATGCAGTACGAAGCGGTACAGAAGTATGAGGCGTCGAATCGACATTTTTTGGCGATGAAGAATTTTGTAAGTAACCTCATCACTAATGGTTTTGTTGACGCTGGATTTTCTATAGACAAATTGTTGATACATTTTCCAAACCATTTCAGAATCAGCCAAATGATATGCACTTGAATGTGAGTCATGCCACCGAAAAGCTGGAAATTGAAAGTGACGTGACTGACCCACGTCTCATGAGTATTGTCGATAATGAGCCGGGTGAGAAGCAAAGCTTTAAATTCATCGTAGATGACTCCAAGTTCATATTTCTCAATGAAAGAAAATCGGCTCCGTCTAATGAACTAAACGACACCGTAAACACTGGTCTTAATGGAAAGTTTGCATGCGATACTTGCGGTTTGCCGTTTGCTTCATTCGTTTACCTGAAACGGCACAAAATGGAGCATGACTCAGAGCGAAAGTTTTGTTGTTCGCTATGCCCGAAAACATTTAAGGGCATTTCCGGCCTTAAGCAACACATCAGCGGTTATCACTATAAAATCAAACCATACATCTGTTCCGTGTGCAACTACGCATACGCACTGAAAGGTGATATGCAACGGTGTCGACACTCCAAGCTGAAAAACCAGTCTTCATTCAAAATTGCTTGAACATTTCCAATGAATCATTGTACTTTTTTCATTTTGACAACTTTTATTGAACAGTTTTCACAATTTTATTTTTTTGTTTGTTTCATTTTTCTTACATTATTAAAATACATCAAGATGCAATAAACATGAAATTAGTTTGTTTCTTTCTTCTGTTCTATACAATTCTTCGACTAGCTCAATTTGAAACATATTACTGTTTAAAATCTTATATTACTACAATAATTCTTTCGATAAATGTTATAATTTAATTTACAATATTGAATTCGAATATATTCTTAACACTAAAAAGAAAAACACTAGGTTTGTATGGGAAAAACATTACACAAGATAACGGAAAAAACAGATCGTTTGAAAAAAAATTGAATTTTGATCAAGTAACACCGATGATTCAAAAATGATATGAGAAAACACCTTAACGATAGAGATTAAATTAATTTTGTTGAAAAATGGCGGCACGTTGCTGAAACTCATGGCGACGAATTAATTTATCCTCTTCGGCTCGTTTACGTTCTTCTTGCTCTTGGCGAATTTCATCAGCGAATTTGTTGGTGAGGAATTGCTCTTGGATTTTTGCCTCGAAGAAACTCTTTGCACCAACAACACCCACTTCATCCACGTTGATTTCAGTGAGACGCGCCAATTCGCTCAAACCAGATCCAGAATCCAAGTCACCAGCTTTGGCTTTTCTGTTTGCCGAAGACAAATGGAATGGGAAAAGTTATTGCAAATTGTTAAATATAGACAAGTATGGGTATTTTAAGAGCAATCTCTTAAATTGATCAATTTTTACATTCAAATTTTACTAGACTGAAGTCGAATTGAAAAGAACGAGCATTGAAAAAGATAATATACGACTTAAAAACAAACTTTTCTTTCAAACTTTGCAAAATTGTTCTTACCTGTAAATCAGCAAGAATTCACGGAATGAGATTTTGCCATCTTGATCTTCGTCGACCTCAGCAATCATTGCCTTTAAACCGATATGTGTTTGTGGTGATTGCAATTTTTCCATCATTACTTTCAGTTCAGCCAGATCCAAAAATCCATCATTGCCAATATCGTACCTAGAATAAAAATCAAAAGAGAATGTTATCACGTTGGTGTCACCGCAAATAAAAGAAACACAAAATCAGCAGCAGCAAAACAAACAAAGCGATAGAATGTGTAAATTCGGTATGTGTGTATAGAATGAATCGTTGTTTCTTGCGAAAACAATGTACGGTTTCATCATCATCAACTTTATTTATAACAATTCCATTCATATCATTCATCCGTTCATCAGTTGAGTGCGGCGTTCTTTTCAATTAACACAATGGGAAAAGTGATAGAAACAGATAAAAACTTGTTTTTTTTTCATTTGTTGAACTGAACATGTTTGATTTCACATTTTGTTAAGAGAGAGATGAAGTTTACCACACAGTCAAACCAATAAAAAAAATGTGAACATAATTTTTAAATCGAAATAAAGCCATCGAATTAGTTTCGACAATGGTTTGGTTGTAAAACATTTTTTTAGTGTTCATAAATTGTTATTGGATCGATGAAATCAGCGGAAATGGAAATTGCAATGGAAATGGCAATGACATTTCTGGAGCCCAGATGTCTGTTTTGCTTCGCCAATGTTATGTACATTATATATTGAATGAGATTTATCAAACCGTATTGCGTTCACTTGAATGTGAAACGCTCGTGTTTTTCATTTAGAAATTGACATATTCCCTCAGGACGCGCTAATTTATTTTGGTGGTCAGTCGTTCATTGCTCTTGGTCGCCTTGAATATGCGAGTACATTATTCAACGCAGCACATATATTATCCGCGTGTGTGTAAAAGATTTACAATGCATATTAGAATGATGGGGAGATTTAAATAAAAAAGGGTTACCGTTGAAAAGTGTTCAAGTTGTTCCAATGTGATGAATGCGCTACTTTTCACTTGTTTCATACTTGCACAGTGTATACACACTATATTCAATTGAAATGCGTATTTTGAAAATGGCAATTGCTTTGAACGTACATAACAAAAAACATATTACATATGCCGATAATATATGCAGAAGGGTCCCTTCGTGACTACAGCAATAAATGTGCGTTCCACTAAATAATATATGGAATACTCATGGCACCACCAAATGATAACTCGGCAACTCATTCACACATTAATTTCCAAAATGAATCGAGCAAAACAAGTCTGTGACTCAAAAGAGGAATCATTCGATGAGTGGATACACGATTTTTGTCGGTGAATGAACGAAACCAATTGAATATATGATGTATGAGTTCATTCTGAATTGACTACCATCGATAACATATGGGATATGAGTCATCGCCGATTGTTGTTGTTTTTTTCTTATTTTCATTAATGTTGATTAAACTCGTTCAATCTGTGGCGAGCATTGCTTTAAAGTGGCACGCTTTGCCAATTCCACGCTTGACTGATGATTCAATGAGAATATCATAGATAAATTAAAGTTGCGTCTGGACTTTACCGCTTCAAAATGCCATTCAAAGAGTCTATTAAAACTATTTAATCATAATAAAATAGTTCCTTTAGAACTCGCCCATTCTCCAACACACGCACACATATTTAGCCGAACAGTGCTTATATTTAGAGCTCTTCAAGATTTCAAAATACCACACGCAATTCGTACATGATTAATTTCTGCATGGATAAGCAAAACGATAGGCTTACATACTAGTGAAGCTCTACACATGAAAGTGTTGGCTGTTCATGTTCGCTGGAACAACAAAACGGTTTTTATTTTCCAATTCATTGGAATAAAAAACAACACGATGTGTTGCCATGACAAAAATTATCTCATTTACTCTTCTCATGCGATATAATAACGTTACGATTTGTACAAAGTGAAGGCAAACCGAATTGAAAAATGTTCAGCGTTGAAATCGAGAGCAAATGAGGGTATCAACATTACAATTTCGATCGATTGTCATTTATAAATGACATTTTACATAATAGAAGTGATTATCGACGCGTAATCGCGTAGCAATGGCTGTGTAACAAGATGTATGTTGACAAAGACTATATTTGCGCATATAGAAAGAAGCAAATGACGTTGTTTTCCCTTTCATGTCTTTAAACAATGATATCGAATGGTCTTATCGTCGTAAGTATGAATAGACTAAACGTTCCATGGTTTTCAATTCGATCGATTTGAATGAATGTTTTAATCAATTTCTTGTTTTCTTTGCGGTGGCTCCAATAAATATCACGACATGATGGCACTTTCTTATCAGCGGAGAGGTCAACCGATCATTAATTTGTGTTTTCTTATTCCGATAGCATTCATTATGATTTTATCAATGTGCGCCGAGTGTATCAATTTCGCCAAATCAACCACGAACCATGTGACAGTGAAAGGGATTTTTATTCATTTTGTGATAATGGATCTGCTTTCATTTAAAACTGATGCTGAACGAAATCGATTGGCATGGCGATGAATATCAATTTTGATCATCCACATCTCGCAGTATGTGACACACATCAAACACAATTTTGGAAATCATTAAAAAGTAATTTGAGAAAAACGCTGCTATTTCATGGCTCACAGAAAACGGCCGCTTATTTTCATAGGCAGCGTTGATTTATCCACATGGAAAGAGTTAGAACGGTAATGCAATGTATCGCAACCGAGTGATTTAAGTTCAATCTATTTTCGTCTAATTTACACAATATTTACATGGTTTTTTTTCTTACAAAGTCGTAATCAGGATGTGAGGCACACGAATGTGTGTACGAATGAAGCGCTGTTGAGCAAACGATAGAGTTAATGTCCAAAATAAAACCCACACAAAGATCCCACAGCAAGTGACGAAGTTGAACAGTAATGGAAATTAAAATTGGATGATTTTTGTTTGTTGATTTCATTGCGCACAAGTCGAGTTGAGTTGATTATGTTCATTGTTTGCGACTCCGTCGAGTTCATTGATCAGCTAGTCTTTCATTTTCCCTATTTCGTACAGAAAATTACAGTAAGATTGAAAAATATCCGCGCCAAATATAAACATTGAAATTTTTCAATTGAATACACAGCTATTTATATGGTGTGTACTTGTGTTTCTCGCCACGATGCACACACTCGGCAGTGCACACACGAAACATAAAAGGAAGAACATCTTTATGAAAATAGAAATTTTCATCGTAATCAATTTTGGAGTGTGCCGATGCCGATACCTAAGCGTAGCATATCAAATATGTTTCCTGATTAAATCCAACTTTGATCATCAACATCCGCATTTCGGTGTGATTGGCAATTTTTTTCTCCGTTTCGTTATTGTTTGATTTAATCATATTGTTCCAAAAACAAAAATAGCTCCACGTTTCATGAAAATCAGATAACGAACGTATCAGAATCTCAATGGCGGTAGAATTTCGAAGTAGCGCAGAAAACGTAGACTGATAATTATTGTTGTAGCGTAAAAGCACGTGCTTCAAAAAACAACTTTAACACATGTATAAACCAATGCCAAGATTGTGTTGAGTTAAAAAGGAAATCCGTTTTTAATGAAAACATTTCGTTTACTTCCATTCGTTGGCAAAAAATATTTTGAATATGTGTGATAAATATTTTTTTAGCTTGTTTTCATTTCGGCTTGGGAAGCACCTGATTTAATTGAATCGGAAGTTTGATATTGTAGTTGGAATGCAATTTTGCATGATTGCACATTTACCCATTTTTCTTGCTGCTGCTCTCTTTGTGGCATAGCATTGTTTTCGTCTTCGTCTTCGGCGGTGTTTTTTTTTCACCGTTGGACGTTTTCTGAGTGTGTCAGATGCAAAATTTACACATTATGTGAAAGTGAAACAATTGAGTGTGATTGTGTCTTTTGGAGCGCGCACGATCGAGCGAGAGAACGTCTCTTGGCTCCAATATTTTTTTTATTTTATATTTATTTCATTTCATTTGTTGTCCACACATTTGTTGCTGCTGCCGCTGTGGCATCTCTCTCACCTCAACACAATGCAATCAACGTGAAAGAATTCAATTGCAAGTGCCGCGCGCCTGCTTCTGTTCCATACGCATTCAAATGCGTGTATTGTTTGGAATATTTAGCAAGCAATTATACGAAAGCAATTGTAGCTTAATAAATTCACTTCGTTTTTTTTTTCTACGAACGTCGACTCTAAACGAAATCAATGTTTCAGTTTTCTTTTTTCTGCTTTTTTTCATGTTTTGTTTTGCTGCTATCGCTTTTTTTCATTTATCGATGATAATAATGTAAATAAGCATGTTAACTGGGGCTGAAAATCAGGTGAATAAAATTACTATGAAGCTGCAATTTTCTATTCGCTACTATGTTTTTTTTCGTATTAAATTCGCACAAACTCGGCCAATGGATGCCAAGCAAATCGATATAGTCGCTTCATTCGATTGAATTGAGGAATTGGCGTATTTCACGCAATTTTGCTTACGCATATTTCTGGAATGAGGACGTTGCGGCAACAAAGCAAAAAGTGAAACTAATTTTTTTCTGGAATTCAACGCATATATAGTTCAACAGGTGCAGGTTAATTAGTAAAGCATGGACTGTCTGGTGAAATGACATAAATGGTTTAATTGAATGAGTCTTGGTGTGGCGATTAAATCAATTAATTTCAGTTTCGCAATGACGAGCCCAAGAAAAGCGTATATTTTATGTGACCTGACTTTATGGTCGAATTCAATGAAAGTCGAAAAAGCAACGAAATAAGTTGAAAATATACGATCGTATACGATTCACACCGCACAGAACCCATGTTAATTTCATCGATGAAACGAGCTAAAAATTACAGCTCGTAGAATAATGGTTTATTACAAACACGTTCCTTCTGATAAGAGTTTCTGTTTAAACAAATCGTTTCGTCACAAGACTCATTATTAGATAGCAAATGATGGTGAGCAATACAAATTCACAACTAAATGAAAATCAAGGGCAGCTGGTTTTTTTTTTCAAAAGACAAACTAATGCCCCGAAGAGAATTGCAACGATATCGAGGCGAAATATGAATAAATAAGAGAATTTAGTATGATTCATTGTTTCGAGCAAGTAGAATCCAACGCATTCAGAGAATTAGATAAGAAATACTAGACTTTTAAATTGCATTATGGGATTGAGTAATAAAACCACAAAACATATGTTAAAAGCCATGTAATGCATTAGCGAACGACAAGGCTACCAAAATGGATGGTATTAAATGAAGATTGCTGTTGCGACATCGCCACAGACTCTGGGTAAATATACAAACGTTTAGCCATAAAAAAAATATGTTAGAAGGAAAACAAGTCGAACATACGATGTTGACATAAGTGCACATGTAAAAAACCAACATCAACTCTACACAACAAACAAAGAAACCGCGACCAAACGGAGCAAAACCAAGAAAAAATAGGCTGCCTTTTAAACAAATTTATACTTAATTGTTTGCATGCGCTTTGTTTGATAACAATTGTTGTACGCATACATATTCTTGTCTGTGACTTTGTGCGTCTCACATAATTCGTTCGACGATGATTATGATGATTTTCTCGCTTTTACTCGTCGATGTCGTTTATCTTGTAAATACTCTCGCTTTGCGGCAATTTACTGCATCGTTGAAATTCTCCGTCGAAAGATTCTTGACCCCTATATTTCAGTTGCACCATGATAGTTTTTGCTTGAATATTTTTTTTTTTCTTCTTCTGATGTTGTAAGCTGTATTGTAAGCATTACTCGAAAGTATAATCTGGGTGATAGATTAATCTTTGTTTGGGAAGGAAATTAAATGCGGGACTTTTCACACACACGCTCACACAAATCTCTGTTCAGCGCCGCTTTGTTCATAGTTGCACTGGAGGCAATAATTTTACTGTAGTTTCAAAAGACAAAAGAGATATTTTAAAAATAAAAACGACCTTTTTTCACTCTTAATATTCACTGAATATTTATACAAAGAGATTGTTGGTACTGTGCCTCACACGACGACGCCTTACTCCAAATTAATAAAGACTTTTTTGTGTTTGAGTGAGAATACGGAGATAAAGAGTGTTGATGATGGTAAACGAGAGATATGTTTATGCTATTTCCGCTTGTATCCTGCATGAAATCGGATGTAGGTTATTGTTATTACGGTTCGTATTAGTGAATCGGTGTGAGAGGGGAATGCTACTGTATCCAGCATAAATAATGACGAAACGTTAAACAAAAATCGATACACGTCATGCAAAGCGAGCATAGTGTTGATGTTGGCTATCATTGACGCCACTTTATGTGCAAACAAATTGAGCGCAATCTCCTGCATGTGCTCAAAACTATTAGCATGGTTCTTATCTATTATCTCGTTATAAAATAGGATATGTCTATGAAACACCTATAGGTTATCGTCATATAGCGCTGTTCATGAGTTTAGTTACCGCCTACTACTACGAGTGTTTCGCTACGATAATAATAACCCAAAAACGATAAATGCTAAGGAAAATTACTCATGTGCACATCATATTCCCTTATCGATACAACTAACCCAAACGATTTCATTCACGCTTGTTAATTTGCAATTGTTATTCCGAACAATTCGACCTATTTTAAGTAGTCATTTAAAAAAAATATATATTTCTCTTTTGCCATTCTAATGTGATGAAAGTAAGGTAAACTGCAAAAAATCGATAACGTTGACCAAATATATATCATGCATGTGCACAGCAGCATGAAAAACCCAACGGTCAAATTCCGAAAAACATATGTTAAATTCTGTACAAACGGCTGGTTGCAGTCAAGTTATGCAACATTTGGTTTCATCGAATTTCGTTATGTCGACAAGCCCGAAGTTAAATAAATATATGTGTGGAAAGCGAACCGAGAGACAGCTGTGTGGAAAATGTTATTTTCTTCTTAACACATTTCATTTGTTTCTGTTTTTCGTTGTGCACACATGCACCGAGGCAATTGCACTATTTTATTTGCTATGCAAACGACACGCAACCAACGAAAGTGAAAACAGCAATTTTTTTTAACGGAAAATCGGTTCATTATTCTCGTTCAACCATGAACATTCCTTAACGTCTTTTAGAATGAATCAAATTCTTTGCCTTTTTCCCCATTCGCTTCATAAATTAAAAAAAAAACACAGTTTTGCCGCATCGAAATGAAATGCGACACAAAAAGCACATTCAAATCAAATGAAATATTCAAAACCATCCACCGAACTCAACACACTCATGTTTACTTTCTCAGTATAAACAGAAACAAAAAAAATGCTTCGTATCGTGAATAACACGGCAAAAATTAATGGGATGAGAAACAAAACATTTGGCCTAATTTTCAATCATTCGGCTGAATTTTTTTTGTTGTGTATCCATAAATTTGTTTGTTGGACGACATTCGATCGATTCGTATCAATTTTCCGTGGTTGCCATTAAGTGAGTGTGTGTATGTTTTGTATTCAGAGTCTATAGCATAGCAATAACGGTATTCACGTGACAAAGATGATGATGAGATTGGTTACCGCTTCTAATGAGAAATATCACATTTTGGACGAATAGTGTAGCTCTTTTTTCCTATCGTTAGAGCGGCCGGTGAATTTCTTCGTCGACAAAAAAAACGTCGAGAAATAAAGTCATGATGTTATATAAGCTGCTGTATCATACAGTCTGTAAGTAGTCACATGGAGCAGTGCTACTTATTGGAGCAATAATATCGACCATAATTAAAAAAGCATTGAGTTGAACTTGAGCTGTGTATTGGAGCACAATTGACGTCACATCGAAACCCATACAATTCGAATTCGAATTTTAATGCAAGATTTGAATGGAAGAACTTTTCAACCAGCGCCAGTGTAGTAATACTGGTTTCGTTCTAATGATGGATGATTAATTCAATTAACTTGAGTAATTTTCAATAGAAATGACGTACTGCCGTACGTGTGAGTGTATATAAATAAATTGATAGCAAGAACCGCATAAGTATTATTTCCAATGATTTTGCTTTCTCCACATCGTTCGAACAGATTTTATTAGCGAGCAACAAACTTCGAGCCGAATAAGAAACATTAAATAACTCGGGCATTGTAATGCAAAACCCCAAAACTGAACAAATATGACGGAATCGGAATAAATTCATGATAAAATTGAATTCACATACCAATCAGCATAAATTGAAGATTACATTTTATCGACCCGAAAACATCTGTTACGTGAAGGTATTTACATAATGGAATTCATTGACAATACTCCAAAAAAGGCTAACGGAAAGAAGTCACCATCGCAAAGCGCGCACCCACAGACCGAAAATATTCTGAAAACGTTCAACACGAAGAAGGTCAAGGTTCAAGGATAAACGAAGCGAGCGCAAACGCATTTTCAGCGTCTGTTTTTGTGCAGATTCTGTTTGCGCGAAGGAGAATGAGAAGAGAAAAAAAATCCACTGATGGCAATAAGCACATTGTAAGAATCGATAAATGGCGAATCATATCGCAAAAGGTGGCTGCGACAGTGGGAAACAGCCTTCCATACATTTATTGTGAACTTGTATGAACTGTTATCGCGACGACGGGTTCTCATGTTGATGAACATCTTTTACGCTTATTTCTTAATTTGTGTTGTGCTCGGACAGACGGTTCTACCGTGTGCGATTTATTTCACTCATCGAACGGATGTTCGTAGACACAGCACCACACGACCACTACTAGTTGAGAGCAAAACACACCAAGAGAGAGAGAGATACGTTTTTGCGGTGCACATTTAAGACAAATTATATGAGAGAGATAACGATGCGACGGGTGCTGACCGTGTGCCGCCGTGACGTCATTGGAACAATGCAAATAAATCATAATAAGTTTGGCGGGCAAATTTCATGTTTTTCTTCGTGTTTTACACAACCGAATAAACAAGTGCACACGAATCTTAATGCGACGCTCGTTTTAATGAAATTGCGGTAAATGCTTTGCGCTCCAATCAAATGCTAATTTTCAATTTTCTTCAAAGAATCCATTTAAAATGTAAATTCTATCCCGCGTGTTTGTGTATGTATAAGAGAATGAAATAGATGATGATTTGATGCGAAATAAAATGGAAACTTACGTATTGAATGTGGCTTGATAATCTTTGATCTCTTTGCGCGAGAATTCATGGAATTCGGTGTAGATGTTGCCCGGACGGAATGTTTGCTTCACCGTTTCACCATTTTCCAATGCATCGTTAATTTGTTGGCGACGATTTAAAATCGAACTCAATTCCGAATCAGCCGACATCTTCTTAGTCTTCGCCCCCTTTTTTTCTCTCTAAACGTTATCTTATTTATTTTTCAATTTTTCTGATTTCAGATTAAATAATTGCAGGTAATTGCGTTCCAAAATTTATGGTTCAATCGCTGAATATTTACACTTTTTCTGCGATACAATACACACAATGAAAAGTGAAATGCAATCGAAATTCACAATTCGACTTGCACGATTTTTTTTTATGATACTCGGACTTTGCGGCTATTTCTCGCTGTGTTTATTGATTTCGGTGTGTGTTTTATTGTGCGCACAATTTCGCTTTTAAACTGTTTATGGGAGAAGAAAATCCGTTGGGTTATACTGTGAGAGAACGACACTAAAGCAGAATGATACACATCAACGTTCAAACGTTAACTGCACCAACGAACAACCTTAACAGCTCATGCCAATGCTCAGTTTTATTTCGGTCGCTCTTCTTTCTACTTTTCTCCTTTCGTTTTACTTTCGATAACACACAATCTCGAGCGATGTGCGTTTTAAGTATGGAGGGGCACAGCGAATGGAGAACAAACACTGTCTATGTAATGTGGTGCGGTCTCTTTTCAACCAATGATTATTTACAGTGCATTGCTCACGCGCTTCAACGACCAGATCACATGTACCTTTTGTTCTGTGCGCGGTATTTTGAATACTTTAGCGAGAGGGGAAATTGAAAGCAATACTCAAATATGATGATGGTCATTTCTTCAATTCAAATTGACTGACTTGTAACAAATTCCAGGGAATTGAAGTTGGAATTATATCATGCTATTGTTTTGGGCGATTAGTGAAAAGACTTATTATGGAAATCAGAATGTTACATTTCTTTTTATCTGGCTTTTATTTACTGAAAATAACCATTTTCGGACTTTTTTTTTAGACAGCTGATAAGAACGTAGAAATTTAAATGGCAAACGACTGGACGTATTTGGATAATAATGATGCATCATCATGAATTTCATGTAACCCGCTGCAAGGATAAGAAAATGAATCATTTCTTGACTCATGTGCAATGTCAGATATGGTAAAAAAACACGATGAAAAATACAGGAATCATATTTATGAATGGCTTATGATGATAAATTATAAAGTTAATGGAACAATGACAAACAGTTGGACCAACGATAAATGAACATATCCAAAGTTAGCATATGATTACTTGTGAATTGCGTATATTATTCCCTTGCGTAATAGTAGTAAATTTCTTTGTTCCTTATCAATTGACGAAAAAAAGCTAAAAATGGTTATTTTTCTGTGAATCAGGACTGATCAATAGAAAGAAATGTAATTTCCATAATATTTTCACCGATGGCCTAAAACAATACCCTGCATGACAATTTTTAAGTCAAATCTTTGTTAGAGATGTGACAAAAATGCATTGAACAATCTATTTGTCAAATACCATTTACAATTAAAGGCTAATTTACAGTTCGCCATGCAAAAAAAATTGCATTGATTTTTAGGTACCTAATTTTACCAATTTTTTTCCCGCATGGCGAATTGTAAATTGGCTTTAAATCGAAAAAGTTGATTACTTGCGATCTCTGGTGAAAGATCGGTGTTTTTTAAATGACTTGATTCAAAATCAATTCAAACAAATTTACATTTTATTGCGATACTCCATTCTAATTTATTGTCCAATTGAAATATCTTAATCTACTGGACGAATTAAAGTCGATCCGTTTCGGATGATAACACAGTGCAACACATGTCAGACAACCGGGACTTGGCATATCAGAGGTGTTAGTTCTTCCATAGGTGAGCAAAACCCTAGCTGGGTTTTGAAAGTTTAGTAGCGGTTTTTATTTTATCGACCTAGGCAGTTTTTGGGATTCAGAGGATTTTCCAGAGTTGACTTCTTCAGTTTTTGGTCAATAGCTCATCTAGTATTGGTGACAACATCTTACTGTCTTGAGCAAAGTTGTAGTTAAAGGTCCAATAAACAAGTTTTGTGAACAAACTATACCAAAAGAATCACATTTGGTGGGTGCTAGGGGACCAAATGTCCGAAAAAAGTTAGATTTTTTCAGTTTTTCGACCATACCTCGCGCAGTATACATTCTTTTCAATTATTTTCTTTGACGAAAACATATTACTTCGAAAAAAATACATCCAGTCCACTATACTGGCTAAAAATCAATTTTGGCTACCAAACAACACTTTTGAGCATTTTTTGAAGTCCTATAACTCCTATATTTATAAATTTTTATCATGACAAATCAAATATAATTTTCATTCAAAGTGGTCACTTTTGGTCGAACAATGAGACGTATTTATGCGATAATAAAAAAGAACGAGTGGAAAATGAAATTTGATTTAAATGCAATTAATTATGATGTAATGAGGCATAACCTAGGGAATATTCCACACAGTGTACGGCATTCGCAAAGCAAAGTTGTTTTTTTTCCTGGTTATTCACCGGTATTTAATGGTTATAATTGAGTACTTTTTGTGGAAAACGGTGCTTTTTGGGATTATGCCCAATTTGTTTTATTTATAATGTCCAATCAAATCCGGAGAATATTCAATGTATCTATGCACTGGAGCAAATAACGGAAAATGAAGTATTATTTGAAACAAATAATTTGCTTATTGACATCCAAATAAATATTCGGCATAAAAGACCAAAAATCAACGCTACAAAATCAGTGGTATCAAAATAATTGAAAAGTTAACTTCGTTGCTGGTGTTTTATTGGTCAGATCGCACGAAGAGCAGTTCCTAAAGTTTGTTCAAGAGATGACTTCAAAAAGAGTACTACTTTTCATCGGAATTACGGTGATAGTTTCGAGTGTGGCGCAGTGTCAAAAGACCGAAACAAAGACAGAAGGATGTTCCTGTGACATGCAGACCTATGAGCCAGTCTGTGGAAGCGATAGCCAAATGTATCGCAATATTTGCCAGTTTAGCTGCCACCGAGAATCTTTGACTGGTGATGAAAAGCAAACATTAATTATCGTAGATAACGCATTCTGTAGAGTTATTGACGAGATGATTTGATGATTGTTCGATGTACACCTTAGAATATGAATAAAGTGCAAAGCAACACCATCAATTTTCATTGTAAATTTTTATTGCATGTAAAAATGATATCAAATGAAATAGCACAGAATAAATGTATCCTAAACCAAAATGCGAGCAATATGGATTGAAATGCTTCGTTCACTAGTTTTTGTTTTTCATCCACGAACAGAGATTGTGTTCTGAAAAATGTTCAAAAAATGTGATTTAATCAAGTTTTGAGGCAGCAAATTTCTTGGCCAATCCCAAAACTTCATCGGCTTGGTCATAGTTTGGACCGGATGCCTGTGCAGATTCGGCTTTGCCACCACCTTTGCCGCCCATGACAGTCGAAACATGATTAACCCATTCGTTGGCTTTCAATCCCTTTTCAACGCCCGATTTTGATACTGCGCTCAAGCAGAAGATCTTCTTCGAATCCGGATCAACGGTAACGAATAGTGCAGACGTTTCTGGGCTCAATGTTTTGATTTGTTTCAGTGCGGTGTCGAGGGCTTTCGTGTTGTTGAATGCTTCGAATTTATGGACGATGTATGGAACATTTAGCGATGCCGAAATGAGTTCCTTAGCCTGTTCAGCGATTTGCGTTGCAACGGCTGCCTTGGCTGCACGATCCTTGTCATCCAATGCTTTTTTAAGGCCATTCAAAGTGGTACGCAATTCATCTTTTTTCACGTATGGAATTGTAGCCTTTGAAACATCCTCACCCAATTCGATGATCTTTTTGATATGATCCTTTGAATCTTTGCCATCTTTATCGTCAGCAATCGTCGACTTCACTTTGTTGATCTCATTTTCAAGGTATTCGGTTTTCTTGAGTGCTTTGGCAGCCTCAGGTCCAGTCAATGCGACGATACGACGGACACCCTTCGAAATGGCTTCTTCGGTTGTGATGACAAAATCAAGAATATGACCCGATTGTTGCAAATGAGTGCCACCACAGAATTCAACGGAGGTTTTTTCACCGGCCTCACCGTTTGGATTGTTCTCCAGCTCTTCGACGGATGTTCCAAATGCAATCACACGAACTGGATCTGGGTACACTTCGTCGAATACGGAACGAAGACCACGAATCGATTTGGCAACGCTCAATTTCGATTCTTTCGCATAGATTTTCACATTATTCTTGATCACTTCTTGAGCTTTGCTTTCGACGGCAGCAATTTGTTTGGTGGTCAATGCACTTTTGTTGCTGAAATCGAAACGCAGTTTTTCTGGCACGACGAGTGAACCCTTTTGATCCGTATCATGGCCAAGCACGCTGAGTAAGCAATGATTGAGCAAGTGGGTGGCTGAATGGTTGTTCATCGTGTTTCGTCGACGTACTTGATCGAATTGACAATCAACCTTATCGCCAACTTTTAATTCGCCTTCAACGACACCAATGTGCAATATGTATCCACCTCGGTTGTACACACGATCAACAAGGAATTCATTATCTTCAGCGCCAATTTTGACCAGAGCGCCTTGATCGTAGATTTGACCACCACTTTCGGCATAGAAATTGGTTTGATCCAAAACCAATCCACAATGTTCGCCCGATGTCACCTTGTCGACCAATTTTTTTTCAGCGTTCACAATGGCAACGATTTTACCAGCGCATCCTTCGAACTTGTATTCGGCTTCTTTCTCGCCGCCCGATGTGTATTTGTATTTAATTGAATCGTTGGTCGATGGAATGCCTTTCTCTTGCAATTCGGAAATTTGATGCACATCAAGATTGATGACATCGGCTTGTGCGCCGGCTTTACCTTGCGACAGAATGTACGATCTTTCTTTAGCTGCTGCATAGCCTTCCATATCGATGGAAAGGCCTTTCTCTTCGGCCATCAAAGTGGTCAAATCGATTGGAAAACCGTAAGTATCATACAAACGCCATGCAACATCTCCGGGAATTTCCTTTGAATCGCCCAATCGCTCAATGGTTCGGTTCAACAAGTTGCGACCACGGTTGAGTGTCTTCAAGAACTGTTGTTCTTCTTCATTGATGATATCAATCACGTGTTGTGGATCTTTCTTAACCTCCGGAAAAGCATCGCCCAACAAAAAGATGACAGTGTGAACTAAACTGGCAAAGAAACCTGGTTTAGCGTTCAGTTTTTCCGTTGCATATCGAACAGCACGACGCAAGATACGGCGCAACACGTAGCCACGGCCAGTATTATCAGGGTAGCCACCGTCGGAGAGGGCAATGACAATGGTACGTGCATGATCGGCGATGACACGATAAGCCATATCGATTCCATCAACATCTTCAGCTCCAACACGTCCTTGGTATGATGGTGCTCCGGTTCCCTTTTCAATTACCTCGAAAAGTGGAACAAACAAATCGGTGTCATAATTTGATCGTTTATCTTGAATAACGGATACTAAACGCTCGAAACCACATCCGCAATCGATGTGTTTTTTTGGCAATGGTTTCAATGAGCCATCCGGTTCACGGTTGTATTGAATAAACACCAAATTCCAGATTTCCAACACATCTGGGTCATCCATGTTGACCTTTTCTGGAACACTACGACCACCGATACGATCGTAGTGCAATTCGCTGCATGGGCCACACGGACCAGTTTCTCCCATTTCCCAGAAATTATCTTTCATGCTACCTGGCAACACATGCTCTGATTTCACACCCAAATCCAACCAGAATTGTTTGCACTCCAAATCGGGTTGTAGGCCAGCCTTTTCATCACCACCAAAGTATGTCACGTACAAACGATCCGTTGGCAATTCCAAAACTACGGTCAAGAATTCCCAAGCCCAGGCAGTAACTTCCTTTTTGAAATAGTCACCAAACGACCAATTGCCCAACATTTCGAAGAATGTGTGATGGTACACATCTTTGCCGACATCATCGAGATCGTTGTGTTTGCCACCAGCACGAATACATCTGGAAAAATGAATTAAAATTCAAATTAAATTTGGAATTTGGAAAAATGTACTTTTTGTTGCTAATTCCACTCACTTTTGTGTGTTAGCAACACGAACCCATTTCGACATGTCACTGTTTGGATCGACCGTTCCCAAGAAAATCGGCTTGAATTGATTCATACCAGCATTGGCGAACAACAAAGTTGGATCATCCAATGGGATGGTTGACGATGAATGAACGTAAATGTGTTGGCGTTGTTTGAAGAAATCAATGTACGCCGAACGCACTTCTTTTGCGGTGAGCGAAGTTTTCGTGGACATTTTGCTTGCAATATATTTTTTCTGAAAAAAACAAGCAGAAAAGAAAAAACAAACAAACATGAGAATACTATAACCTCTAAATTCAATTAAGTGTACGGTATTTTAGTCGACGAAAGCAAACGATGGAATTGGTAAAAGGTAATAAAAAAAACCACCATTCGCCTAACACTTCTATATTCAAAACACGTTCCAATTTCATCAGAATGTATCTCATCGGCACAAAATATGCACGCACATTCACTTTTTCTCTTTTTATGTCGGTCAATATAACACGTTGCAAATGAAAAGATTACCACAAAAACATGGAAAATCTACGCAATTTTCAATGGGAAATTCTGAATTTCAATTAACAAAATATGAATGAGAGTTGAAAAGCTTACCAAAATAAATGACTAATATCGCTTTTTTATTGTGCAATTCTTTTTTTGCGTCTGCTATAGCGGCTCCAGCGCTCAACTTAGTACCACTGTCTCACACGTTTTGAATAGGTAAAATGAACTATAAATCCCCATACACGTCGCTGTTAGATACGTCTGAATTATATTACATATAAAACTGTTTGTACTTGAAACGTCAACTTGACGTTTGCATAGTGTTCGCTGTGGAATTTAAGTTTGGTGCGAAATTCAAAATGGATTTTTTTTTCGAAGAAGATTTCCTTTTGTTCGGTGTGAGATTGGATTGTGAGTTCATTTTACGCGAATTAAACATCTTTTTTATGTTTGAAATTAAATATATTCTTTATTCTTTATTGATAAATGGTAATTTGGGAAACAGCCCATAAGGTAACTTACAAAATGCAATTGGAATTACTTTATGGTTTAAATTTTAATAATTTTTCTATTAATTAGATGTTTTGTTTTTTCTGTGAGTGTAATATTAATGATTCAATGCAGACGTCCTTAAATTGTATCAAAATTGATATATAGTACATATAATCCCATACGGCCTGGAGTCAATATCGCTACACACAAGCGCGCTTGAGTATGAAATTTTATGCGTTGGTATTGGTGTGAGAAGCGCGAATATACAACGAACGTTAGTGTATCCGCATGCGTTCTACACTTACATTCTGCCGCAATGAAACCAAACCTACTAAATAATTTACATTCATTTTTAATTCATCCGTAGTGTTAATCTTTTTCATTTGAGTTACAAAATCCTGAGATAAATTCTAATTTTCTTTATATTATCTTTAAATTTGTTTATTTACGTTTTCTACAAAAATCATGTAGAGAACTCCAAAAATTTCATGTAATTTACGTAAACGAAATGTAGATTACATGATTGAGTTTTCTACATGCCAACCCTGAATATACATCATATTTCGGTTTCTATGCTATTATCATCATTTTGAATCTCCTTGTGTGGTTTGATAGAAAAACAAATAGCGCAAATTCTTATCAGTCTATTAAGTAGTTTTCATGTCCAATACAGTAGTATAAGTTAGGTTTGACATCATCGTATAACACCTTTGTTGTACTTCTATCATCGTATGTAATGTAAAGCGAATAGAGCGAAAAGTTAGTTTGATATAATCAATTGTTGAGTTAAGATTGGCTTGTGAAGAGCACAATAAATAGTTGAAATTCTGTGATTATATCATCGAGACGCGCATTTAAACCTGAGTTGTAGGGTGATTTTTCTTTAATTTTTTTTTTTCTGGAATACTGTTTCTAACTTGCATGCAAAAAATCTATTTTTTTTGTTTTGCGATTTGTCATTAAATATTTTTCTTCAAAATTTAAGAATGAATTACTGCTGGAAATAACTTGTTTCAATTTCTCTAATTACGTTTTAAATGTTAATATTTCTTTGAAGTGAAATTTAGTCAAAGCGATTTGCTTTAATCAAAAACTCCATTTTGTTCTTTCTTTCAAAGCAAAATGTCGAAGCCAACATTAGTGAAACCGGACATCAA